TCTTAAGATGTCATCAATTAATTAAGTACTCATACCTTCCACTAGGTAGGTATTTCCTTTTAGGAGGTCTCTGTCGGGCACTCTCAATGATGTACTAAAAAAGAAAACTCTATGAAAACAGTTCGCCTTTTGCTTAGTGTATGAACAACTGTTTAAGGCGTATTTAAAATAAGGTGTTAAGAATAAGCAGGCTGTTCAGTCACTCGTCTCTAATTCATATTAACTTATGTTTTGTATAAAAAAACTACTTAACTTCTAAATATATGATACAAATACAATTTAAATCACACTAAAAGCACAGTATTTCATTGCTATGATATAAACAAGATGATACAGTCTCACTACTGTGATTTCACAGGTCAGAAATATTCTAAGTTTCATGATTGCTCAGAATATGCAGAGCACATCCAACTGTAAACACTATACATTTTTGAGTTATTTTCCCCTTTAACTGAGCAATTGTAAAACTTGTCATGACAGGAAAACACAATTTTAGTAATTCTTTGCTCTTCTTCAAATAATATGCCAAAGCATTATTATCTGAGGATTCCAAGCAACAGAGGGGCCAAACGTCACCTGGTATTTTTATTTATTTGTACCTGAATTACTTGCATTAATTAATGCACTCCTTTGCCAATCACATACAAAAATCTCTTAAAAACTGAGTTCTGTCAATTAAAGACAATACTATTTCAGTATGTAATTTCATCATGCCTCACCTCTGCTCGATCCAAAGCTTGTTCCAAAGCTTGTTGCTGGAAAATGTAAGTAGTGTATTTGGTGATATTAGTTATTTTCATAAAAAGTAATTTAATATACACATAAGATTTCTGAGTGTTTAAATGTGTGTCCTTTCTAACACAGGTCTAACACATTCTTATTTCTCTCCTCCACCCACCCAATCATACACTCAAGTTATATCACAAAGAAAAAATATGGCAGTTTTGGGTACTTGATTATGACAACAAATTAGATAAACACTAAAATGGTTTTTTCTGGCCATTTTGTGAGGCTGACACAGGGCCAACAGATATGGTAACTATGGTAACTATCATTTTATAACTTTAATTTCTTTAACATTCCAAGAGCACCATTTAGGAAAATATACTGGCCATCTAGTATGCAAAGACTAAACGCTCCCAATCTGCCAGGAAAACCTGAAAAAGGGGGTTTTTGTTATGTTGGTATCTAATGTAAACTTATGAATTCCTAATATCAAGAATATGAAATACAATATTTCTAGATCAGTGCCCAGTAGGTACGCAATAAATGATGGCTACCATTACCATGTTTCAATGACTTTAACATATCACCAATTACAAGCATGCAGAATTGTTTCAGGTAATTTTAATAAAGAAAAAAGTGCCACCAACTGTAACTGTAAGATGTCAATGACTTTAGACCCATCAATTTAGTAACATTAAAATGTAACAGAATATGCATCTTAAAATTGATGAAATATAGTATCATTACTACATGGGGAGGGTGTTGAAATCTACTAGTTCATCCCTCATTCATTTCTTTTAGGAAGCTTTTTTTTGTAATGACACTTAAAGAGTACTAAGTTTTAAACAAAATTAAGCTAATGTGTTCTGTCTAGTTTTGTGGTTTGGGAACCACAGAGGGTTATACAATATTTTCATTCACAGTTGATAGTCATTTGTAATTCTATGAAGAGGCACAGTACTTTCATTACTTATTTACAATAATCTAAATTTTTCTATTTTATTTTGTAGACTCCAATATTTCAACCTACCAGGTTGCATAGGATCAAAACACTCAGAACCCACTAAATTCCAAAAAGGTGAAGGGGAAGGATAAACATTGCCAGACTTTGGAAATTATGAAAGGCTTAAGTGACCCTGCCACCCTAGTCTTGAGGATGCAGAATTCATCTGATTACAAAAATAGCCGGCCTATTTAGACTAGCAAAAACCCACATTATCAAGCATCTAAAATAGAGTAAGTGAAAAGAGTCTGAAATGTAAAGGTTCATTTAAAATAAACTTACTACCTTTATTCTGTCAAATGCTGCTGCTGCTTTAAAACCCCTGAAAAGAATTTTCTTCTTTTGTCTTTAATTTTTTAATGGCAAAAGTTAAATACTGAGCACTAAGTATGTTTAGTGACTATTAAGGGAACTGAAACATGTCATTAGAAGACTAACACTGATGCCGCTGAAAATGTTATCTGCAGTGAGTAGGTTACATTTGTTTTTAAATTAAGAGGAACTTCAGAATACGAGAGACCTATGCCCCTCACAACTGTATTTATACCCATACCCCTGCCAATGATTTGGACTTACCACAAAACAGACATTAAGTATTTTTGATACTTCACAAAGATGAGGAAAGACAGATTATCTACGTAATATGATCATTGTAACACTGAATTGAGAGATAAGCCCCTATTTTGTAGAGATTTTATCTGTGGTTGCTAAATCATTTCCCAGTTAGGGTAAATTGGGCATACACAAATATTTTTCTATAGTACAGAGTTCTTATGGAGATGAAGGAAAAAAACACTCTAAAACATAAATGTAAACATACTGTGCTGTAGCTTACCATTGTGGTATAAAACAGGATCCAAAAAGAAGAGAAAAACTTATGTGCATTGATGAAGTGGGATGAAAACCATGTCTTTAGTGTCAATCTTACTGTGCTGCAAAGCAAAAACAACAAAATCTCCTTTTACATAAAGCTATCTAGAGAAGTAAGACTTAGGAAATAAACAAGAAAAATACTTGAGGCATATGCATTTCTAACACTTTTTAATAATCAACAATAATAAAGTTCACCCACTGTAATCTACTTGTTGAAAAGTGCAGTTTACCTAGGTAGGGCAAAATCCAGTTTTCAAGTTAAAATTGTTAACTTTCTTCAAAAATATTTAACATCCCAGAGAGGGAGGAATAAATGTTTAGTGACTTCTCGCTATTATCACTGTTGCTACTCTTCCGCTCCTTCCTCTGGGTCACCACAGCACCTGACCACTGGCCTTGGTCAGTATACAATTCCCTTTTCAAATCATAGATTTTGCCATAGTGCTAATAAAAGTCCTGTAATAATATTCCCCTAAATGCCCCAGGCTCGTTTCCTGGTGCAGCAAACTGGATACACTCCTGAAGAACTTCATTCCTTTAACACGCAGGATCTCTCCTGGCTGCCCAACAGAGTAACCCGGGAGCCTTAAAAAGGCGAGTTACCCACGTCCCATCCTGCAGACATTATGATTCACTAGTGTGAATCGGGACCAGGGATCAGCATTTTTGGAACTCCCAGGTTATTCAAAGGTGCTACCAGTGCTGGAACCCACTGCTATTCCCTCTCTGCTTCCCACAAAGGTGACAGGTTTGCTGAGAGGGACGCTAAATAGTTTGTTTTAAATCGCATTCTTTACAGAACTTCCTGTGCGTCTATACACAGCTGAGCTAAAAGCACATCTTCAAGTGACAGGAAACACTGTTTTCCATGTGAAGGGGTTTGGTTTATCTTTGGTGAACTCAAAAGCTTAGGTTTGCCAATTTATTTTTTTTAAAAGAGGTGGGGGGAAGAAAACGGAAAAAAAACCCACCAAAAAATGACAGGCGCCATACAGATTCCAAGAATCAATGTTTTAAAAAATGAGTAAGACGTCGATCCTTCCCTCCAAGAGCTTATAGGAGACTATGTAAGAATTTAAGGCGCAAATTTCTGACCACAGAATATAAAGATGAAGATACACAACGTACAGGAAAATGTGATAACTTTAAAATTAGATCTCTCATCACTAAAATGGGGAAGGAGGGTAGATGAAGGCTTAGTGACTTAAGTACTACAAAAGCCTTTCATTACATACACCACTGACAAACCTAACATTGCCTTTATTTCGAATTTACTAGCACCGTGTCAGAAAAACCACGGCAATCACCACCGTCTCCATTTTAAAGAACAAGGCACGCACAACCAGTGACTTTCCCAAGATGGCTCAAGATGATCTTTCTCAATTTTTAACCTTAGGTTCTTCCTACTAAATCTCACCATCTTCAGGCCATGCAACCCGGCAATCGTTTCCAGATTTCTAAAAGCACTTAAAAGACCCGATTCTGCTCAGACTAATATTATTTTTCCTATTTTTAAAATCTAACTTTACATCCTGGTTATTAACCATCGCACCCTATACGCAATCTAATCCCGAAAACTTGGCTCGTCACTTTTCCGAGCTCCGCTGCAGGGCCTCCGGGGACGCTGCACCGCGACCCGGGCGGCTTCGGGTCCCGGCGGCCCAGCGAGGACCAGCCAGCAACCCCGCTCTCAATGTCGCGATCGAGTGGCTTGGCCTCCTTGACCGACCTGAGTCTCCCCCCAGTGCTCCAGCTTCGTAACGACTGAAGCTCTGCCTGCGAAGGGTCACAGCTGAGCAGAGGGGCGACCAGCCTTTATTCAACATGGACCCCGAGGAACCCGTCCCCACGAAGCGCTATGCAAAATTCCTGCGCGTTTCCGGAAATACCTGTAACTGGGGCCCAAAGTCAAAGTAAAAATGCAAAGCGACGCGTGGCAGCGCCGCGAGAGGCAGCGGAGGTGGCCACCGGGAGAGGGCAGCGGGATCGGCCAGGCCCACCGCGTCTCTGGGGACACCGACTCCCTCCCGCGGGCTCCGGGCACCGGAACGCGGCGTAAGGCCGCTCGGGAAGCCGGCGCTCCCCTCTGACCCCGGCCCTGATCTCGCGCGGCTGCGTCCCGCGCCCCCGCCGCCCACCTGTGGGGGCCGCCGCCCCCCCTGGGCCTCCTGACTGCGCTGCGGGCTCTGCGGGAAGGGGAAGTGCCGCACGCGGCCCCTGCTGCCAGCTGCGCGCCCACCTGCCGCTTTCTCCGCGTACCGCCTCCCCGCCCACGGCCGCTTCCGGAGCCCGCGTTTCCGATTGGCCCGCGTGCGGCGGCGGGCGGAAGGGGTGGGGCAGGAGGGCTGGGCTGGCCCGCAGCGGGGCGCCGGGGGCCGTGACGCCGCGGGCAGGTCCCGGCGACGTCGTGATGACGATAGCCCGGCGGAGGCGCGGCCCGCGTGCTCTGGGTGGCTGGGCGTCGAGGCTTCTGAAATCCGAGGTAGGAAGCGGAAGTTGTGTGGGACGTAGGGGGCCCCGCTGAGTTCCAGAGGGACCTTCGGACCGGCGCCGCTTGTCGCGCAGCCCATCCTACTGGACAGGGAAGGACACCGCCCCTGCGTTACTGGCCCAGCGCGCAGCCTTCCACAGCGTATCGCGTGTCAATATCGAATTTAAGGTTAAAGAAGAAAACCTCACTGAAGAGTTCTAAACATGCAGAAGCCGAATAACCAGCCAGCGTTACAAAGTCTGCACCTTTAAACAACTTTGTTGGGCTGTGAACTTCTAAAAATTATTGAGGTGAAATTCACAGAACAAAATGAAATATTTTCAAGGGTGCAATTCAGTAGTATTCAGTTCATTCACAGCGCTGCGTAAACCATCAGCTCTTTCTAGTTCTAAAACATTCTTAACCTTCCGTTCTTCCCTCTCAGACCCTAGCAGATTCTCACGGCTTTCAAAACTCTGGCTTCACCTGATCTGGATATTACACATAAACGGGATATGTTACCTCTTTGTGTCTACTTTCACTTCGTGTGATGTTTTCCAGGTTTGCCCACCTTGTGTCAAGTATGAGTACTTCATTCCTTTTATGGCTAATATGCTTCATTGCATATATGTATCAGGTGTATCCATCCATTCATTGACTAACGTTTGGGTTGTTTACACTTTTGGACTATTACGAATAGTCCATGAATATTTGTGTAGAAATATTTGTTTTGAGTCCCTGTATTGAACGAGTATTTGTGTAGAAGCATTTGAGTCCGTTTTCAATTCGTTTGAGTACACACTGTTTAAAGAAAACCAAAGCTTTACAGTAGTCAAGTGGTAAAAACATTTTATTGAGGAACTATTCCTGTAGAGGAAAAGAGACCTCAGTATAGAACTGGGTTCAATTCCAAATACAGCATCAACAAGTAGGGGCTTATAGGCAGGGAGGAGGTCAAAGGAAGTATCAGGGCAAGGGAGAGAGAGATTCTGTGTGAAATAAGCTAAATCTCATTTAAAAATCAAGTCTGGAAGTCCTGAAGGGAGTCTCACACACTTATCACTCATTGCAGTCTACATAACTGGCAGGAAGAAGAAAGGTAAGAATTATTTCCATAATGGAAGACCTTTTCATGTAGGAATTTTATATTCTGCCTTTTAAGGAAGATCCCTCACTGCCTCAACGGCAACACCCCAATGACCACCTGCAGCCAATGAGAAACCACCACCTCAAACTCTGGTTCTCTGCTAAACTTCAGTTCCCAACAACGCTACCCAGTTTCCTCCCTTAAAACCTAGTAAAAGTTGACCTTCCTTTGGCTCTTCAGCTTGCATATGGTTCGCCATAGCTTGCTTGTACTGAATTGCAATTCCTATGCTATTCCCAAATAAGCTCATTTTTTTCCTTAAATAAAATTGCTCTTTGCTCTGTTCAGAGTTAACACTGGCTAAGTGGAGTTGACAAGATTCTGACTGAATGCAAATCAGGGTGATCAGATACCAAGGGTGCAGATCAGATGTGGAACGTGCTCAGATATCCAGGTGGGGGTTATCTCTAAATTGAGCAGGATTCTTGCTGCAACGGGTTGATGCAGGTCCCACCAAGTGATGCCAAAGTTGTTGCCTAGAGGGTTTAGAGGAGCCAGGCTCAAGTTTAGTTTAGCAGAGAGTCTTTGTCAATACCAAGGAGTGGAATTGTTGAGTCATATGGTAATTCTATGATTTAATATTTGAGGAATCACTATTTCTATACTGGCTGAGACATTTTACATACATCAATGTATGACAATGTTCCAATTTCTCCATATTCTCATCAATGTATTTTCCCCCGTTTATTTTTATTAATAGCTATCCTAGTAGGTATTTCATGAAGTGGTATCTCACTGTGGTTTTGATTTGCATTTCCCTAATGGCTCATGATGTTGCACATCTGTTAATGACCCTATTGGCCATTTGCATATCTTCTTTGGAGAACTTTGCCCATGTTTTAATTGCATTGTCTGTCTTTTTGTTGTTTAAATTATGAGTTCTTTAAATATTCTGTATACTAGATCCTTACGTGGGGAAAATTGAAGTTCCTATGGGCAGGATCCACACCTGAACCTAAACTCCTTGGTGATGTAACTGACCTGCAGCTAGGCTCCCGCTTCCACACCCGCAGGCAATAAGCTATTACTGGCTGAGTCACTATATAAAAAGCTCTGCCCAGTGCTCTGGGTGGAGGCAGAAATGAAGGAGGATTACGGACCTGTAGATTGCTGGGTGCAGAATGTAATTCTAGTGTTTGGCCTATCCCCTGAGGTAACAAGCCAGGTAATAAACCATTTTACCCCAAGAACATTCCATTATTATTCTTTGGTCTCACTGAATCCATAGTGAACTTGCCTGGGGTTGAAACCCATTGGCAAGACAATTGGTGACTTAGGCAAGATTCATTGTTGACTGAGGAACAGAACAGGCTGCCCTCACGGGAGGGGTGCTTCAGTGGTCTGACCCTATGAATGGGGAGACAGCTGAGTGTCCCCCAGTGGGCATGTGGTCTGAGGTGGCTTGCCTCCTAGAGGGCTGGGCCCCACCCCAGGACTGGAGGCAGATGGAGGTGACACTTGAGGTAGAGGTGGCCCATGGTGTAATAAGGAGGTCCTTTGAGAAACAGTGCCTGTGAGGCGGCGGGAACTGGGGGTTGGCTGTTTTTCACAGTATTAAAATAGTCTACAGATGAGAAGAATGTGCTCCTGAAAGAGACACAAGAAAGGGAAGCATGAGATCGTGAGCTGCGATCTGCTGTGGATTCATTGAAGACTGAAATGGCGTTGATATGAGAGGAGGCAGCACAAGAACGCCAACTGGGAGGTGCTGTGGAGGAAGTAAAACATCTGTTAAAAAATGCAATGGTGTTGCTTCGAGGTACTGTGGAAGACGTATTGGCCCTGAAGGAGAAGGACATGCCCTGCAAGAAGCACAGGGAGAGGCAGTGCTAGAATGTGAGCTGCGAGGCCCAGTGGAGAAGGTGACAGATTCTTTGCAGAATGAGACAGCAGTGCTGCAAGTGCTCTGAAGGAGGCATGTGGACAGTAGCCCGTCGGTGGGGCTTGCCTTTGACCTTGGAAAAAGTCAGCAGAGCCCAACAGGAGTGCATCGTATGCTTTAAAAGGAACTTACACCAAGTTCCACAGCAACATGGGACAACAGCTAAGGGGCCAATGCCCCTTGTCAGGTGGGACGGAGACTATATTGGGCCTCTACCTGTGCCAGAAGGGAACCAATATGCCGTGACTTGTGTGGACACGGCTTCTGGACTTCTGGTTGCTTTTCCTACATGCAGACCAACAGATAACCAAAAGAGGCCTGTAACATCCCTCTGCAGCCTATGGCCGACAACAGGTAACAGAATGATCAAGGCACCCACTTTACTGAAAGTGGAGGGTGATCTTTATATGGTGACTTTATATAGTGACTCAGTCAGTAACAGCTTATTGCCTGTGGGTGTGGAAGCAGGTTGTTTTTTCACTTTTTTGATATTGCCCTTTGATACACAGACTTTAAAATTTCTGAAGAAGTCTAATATATCTATTTTTTCTCCTGTGACTTGTGCTGTTGGTGTCATACTGAAGAAGACATTGTGAAATCCAAGTTTGTAAGGGTTGTTGAAACCCAGACTGCACACTGAGTAAAACAGAGCAGAAAGATGAGTTCAATTGCAAAGGTTTCATCCTGCCAGCTGGGAAACTCAAGGCTACAGGAGCAATGAGTTTCAGCATTGCTCACAAACTAAAATTTTTTTCAGCTGATTGATTGCCTAGTGGTCTTCTTATTTGTCTCAGGGTAGCTGAGTCAAGGGGAGAACCAAGCACAAAGATGGCATCCGGATTTGGCGTTTGGGGATTGGCTGTTGTCCTGTGCTGATTCCTGAGAAAAGCTGTGAATTCCTGCAACTTACATTAGGTAAGCCTTAGTTTTTTTTTTTTTTTCTTTAATGTGCTTCCAACTTCATTTTGTCCCCAACATAAGTGACTCCAGTTCGGTTTCAGTTCTTCAGGGTTTCTCCCTGTGTTTTCTTCTATGAGTTTTATGGCTTTTAGCTCTTGTATTTAAGTCATTGATCCATTTTCAGTTAATTTTTATATACGTTGTGTGGTAGGGGTTCTGTTTTCTTCTTTCACATGTTGTTCCAGAACCATTGGTTAAAGAGATTATTCTTACCACTAATGATTATTCTTGGCTCCCTTGTCAAAAATCAAGTGTCCATAGGTGTATAGGTTTGTTTCTGGACTGTTTCCATTGGTCTATATTTCTATCCTATACCACCAGTACCATGCTGTTTTGGTTATTGTATCTTTGTAGTAAGTATTGAAATTGGGAAGTGTAAATCTTCCAGTTTTGTTTCTCTTTTCCAATATTGTTTTGGTTATTCAGGTCCCCTTGAAGTTTTATATGAATTTGAGAGTCAACTTTTCCATTTTTGTAAAAAAAAGGCTACTGGGACTTTGATAGGGATTGTATTGATTCAGTAGATCACTTTGACAAGCATTGGTATATTAAAATATTTAGTTCTCCAATCCTTGAACATGATCTTTCCATTAATTTAGTTCCTTAATTTCTTTCAGCAATGTTTTGTAGTTTTCACTATGAAAATATTTTACTTCCTTAGTTAAATTTATTCCTGGTATTTTGTCTTGTTGAGTGCTGTTGGCAAGCTTCTATATGCTGTTGACCTATGAGTCACCAAACTGATGTCATAAATAACTGCTGTGATCTCTAGTAACCACCTATGAGCTGGGTAAATGCACTTGGATTTAAAAATATCAAATTATTAGGCCATTTGCTATATTTCTAATCTGAAAGTCTTCAGGGAAGCTATAAATCCTCTAAACTCATACTTTTCATGGAAAAATCTTACTTATCACTGAATTATTGACCTTTGAAAATCGTTATTATCATTTGGCTCCCTTGCAGAGATAATTCACCTCTTATGGACAAGCCCTTTCCTTTCCAGAGGGAGTAGTTATCCTGATCTGCACTTCATAGGCTCAGAATTACTGTTAGCTGTTTATTTAATGCTGATAAGAGTCTTTCAACTAATGAGGGACTAATCATCTTATGCAAATACCAATACAGTGAAACACTATATTTGTATTCAAAGCAATAAGATTACTACTTCAATTTCTGTTCTGTAACTCATAAATTGCCATAAGGACAAAATTGGAAAAGGACTTGACTAGGCATTTCTGCAAAGATGGGCCAGTAAACCCATGAAGAGATGTTCAATGTCACTAATCTTCAGGGAAATGCAAATGAAAACCTCTTAAGATACCACTTCACATTCATTGGGATGACTATTATCAAGAAAATGGAAAAATAGCAAGAGTTGGCAGGACTTGGAGAAATCAGAATCCGTGTGCATTGCTGGCAGGCATGTAAAATGGTGCAACCACTATGGAAAACATGGTGGTTCTTCCAAAAGTTCACCTGAGAACTACCGTGTGATTCAGCAATTCCACTTCCAGGTAATTCCCCGAAGAATTGAAAGCAGAGACTTGAAGAGAGATTTGTACACAGTTTATCGTAGCATTATTCACACCCAATAACCAAAAAACAAAGTGGAAACAACCCAAATGTTCCTCAACAGATAAACAGGTAAACAAGATGTGGTATATACATACATAGGCGTATTTTCAGCCTTGAAAAGGAATGAGATTCTGATACATGCTAATATGGAAATACACACTAATCTTAAAAACATTATGCTAAATGAAGCAAGCCTAACACAAGAAGACAGTTGTATGATTTCACTTTATTCCAGGTACCTCATTGTCAAATTTATAGAGACAGAAAGTAAAACAGTATATCACAGGTTGTGGGGAAGAAGGAATGGGAAATTATTGTTTAATGAGTATAGATTTTCCATTTTGGAATATGAAAAACTAGAAATAGGTACTACTGATGGTTGTATAACATTTGTGAATACTTACATTACTGAGTTGTACATTTAAAACAGGTTAAAATCTTAAATTCTATCTCATGTATATGTTACCATAATAAATAGTAATAAAAAGACCAAACAAGTCTCCCATCTTTTGTTTCAGCAGAGTTGAGTTCAGACTCTGTTCTGATTTCTCTTACCTATTTCAATAGTCTTGAATAAAATCTTCCTTACCTTTTTAACTTTGGGGCAGTTTTTGCTTTGACTGTTCAAATTTCTAGCATTGTGTTGTGTGTGCCGTGTATTGTGTATGACTACTTGAGTGTACCTCTGTTTCTCTGAGACATTTTAAGCCCCTCGAGATTGGGAACCCTGCGTTCCTACTTCTGTCATTCAGAGTGCATATCTCTCCTGGTGTCCTTACAAGCCAGGGCTTCAGAAAAAAATATTTTCTGAAAATAATGAAATTGTTTATATTATACATGAGAGTTTTTTTGTATATAAGTGACATCTTGTTGCACCAAATGGAATAGCCAGTACTGTATTAGTATTTTCCTTGGATCAAACTGTTCTCTTTTAAAAAATCCAGATCCTATATATTTTCTTTGAAGTTTGCCCAAAATAAGCATTGCTGCAATTGAAGGGTAATAGGCTAAATAGCCTAACAAAAGGATGCTTAGTTACACTGGGACAATTTCTGACTGGATCACCTTAGTCTGGAAACTCATCACAGTTTTAAGAGATTCCCTAAATCAAAGTTATTCATCTATTTAGTTGGCATAAGAATGATAGTTGAAACCAAGGAAAAGGAGAAGTGAGTGTGTCGGCTGTAAAGGCCAGAGGATTTGCAAAGAATGCTGAGAAGAGTCTGTTGAATTGCTGACTGTCTTAAGAAGAGATTTTGGGCTTGAAACAAGTATTTACTGTTGCTGGTGTTTCAGTAAATATTCATTTTATTATATCTTTAAATGTGTAAATTATATCTTTTAAGCCTTTAGGCTCATTGTACTAATTTTATTATAAATGTAGTAAATTTTGTTTCAATTAAAAACTGTCTCTTTCTAACTCCTAAGGGGATTTGTAAGTGCCTGGGAGTATGAGAACCATAAAAGGGATTTCTAAATTGCAAAGAATGAATTTCTAATTCTTGAATTATTGTTTTAGTAAGGCCATCAAAGGAAATTCTATAGAGTTGGAATGAGATTCCATGGAATGGCATGTTGAGTTCTTATTGGCACAAGCTAAGCAAAAGCTCCATTTAGCCAGCACTAGTTTCAGGAGAGTGTGTCCAACTCTCCAGAGGACAACCCTGAAAAAAAAAAGTGAATCAGGATTACTAATTAGGGGTATTGATCCCAAACTGGATTAATCTAGACTGGATTATTTAAAAAAACAGGTTTTGACAGACTTTATCTCCCTAGCATTGTCTAACAGAAGTTGCCCAAATAGGTGGTGAGCTTTGTGCTAGCACACAGTGAGTACTCAAACATCTGCTGAATACATTTGCCTGGCTATGGGCCCTCCCTAAAAATATTCCACATGAGTAACCTAAAGTCATCTTCCAATGTGTGTTTTACATGAGAATGGACTCTAAGTTATGAAAATGCCTCTTCTTATTTGTCACTAGACAAGCTCTCTCATAACAATATGTTAAACATTTACTGTGTAAATTTGTACACATTAATCTCATTTGAGCATTTTAACTGCCTTATGAAATAGGGTAGTTTCCATTTGAACTGCATGCAATTGCTAATATTTTAACATTTTGACTTGCAAAAATGGTCCAACCTAAAAGGTGACCTATATAAGGTCCAACCTAATAGGTGAAGAAATTTGAGAGGTTAAGATAGTCATAGGAAAGTTAGTGGTAGAGTTTAACAATTCTTATGTTTATGTTTCCAAGCCAGACTGCTCCTACAGACTCTAGACTCATTAACATCTTATTTTGAACATCTGGTAAGCATTTCAAATTTAACTGGAAAAAACTGTTCTAATCAAAAGGTGTAGAGGGGCTGAATGGATAAAAAAACAAGACAACTATATGCTGCCTGCATGAGATTAGATTCACTTCAGCTTTAAGGACCTATACAGACCAAAATTGAAGGGATGGAGAAAGATATTCCATGCAAATGGAAACCAAAAATAAAGTGGGGATAGCTATATTTATATCAGACAAAATAGAATTTAAGTCAAGGAGTGTAATAACATACAAAGAAAGTCATTATATAATGATAAATGGGTTAATCCAACAAGAGGAAATAACATTTGTAAATATGAACTCAAATGGGAGCACCTAACTATATATAGCAAATATTAACAGGCCTGAGGAGAGAAATAGGTAGCTATACAATAATTGTAGGGGACTTTGATACTCCACGTCCAACAATGGATACATCATCTAGGTGGAAAATCAACAAGGAAACATTGGACTTAAACTGTGTAATTGACTAGATGGACTGAACAGATAGATACAGAACATTTCATCCAATAGCAACAGAGTATACACTCCTCAAGTGCACATAGACATTATCAGGACAATCATATGTTAGCCCACAAAGCAAGTTTTAATAAATTTAAGAAGATTGAAGTCATATCAAGTATTTTTTCCAAACACAGTAGTATGAAAGCAGGTATCAGTATAGGAAGAAAATGGAAAATTCACAAATATGTGGAGATTAAACAATATGCTGCTGAACAACCAGTCAGTTAAAGAAGAAATCAAGAAATTAAAAAAATACCTTCAGACAAGTGAAAATAGAAATACAACATACTGAAAATTAAGGGATACAGCATAAGCTGATTGAAGATCTAAGTTCATAGCAATAACCATCTACATGAAGAAGTGAAAAAGATAATAAACAACTGAAATTTTCACCTCAAGGAATTAGAAAAAGAAAAAGTGAAGCCCAGAGTTAGTAGAAGGAAGAAAATAACACAGATCAGAGTAGAAATAATGAAATAGAGACTAAAAAGATAATAGAAAAGATCAATAGAGCTAAGTTGGTTTTTTTTGAAGAGAAAC